GAACCTGAAACTTAAATAACAATAATTCTTTACTATTTAGGTCGCTTGTGCTACTTTTTAATTTATGAATAGGGAAATGTTTGAAGTATACAATATATTCTTATCTATAGAGAAACAAATTTCCTTGAAATTTAGGATTGGTAGATGAGTAAAAATAAATAAGTAAAATTAAAGGTAAGAAATGAAAAATAAACAAGAAGTTAATATTGTCTATCTATTTTCACTCATTCAACAGCTCTAAATATATATAATTAAAAGAGTTGTACACACTACACAGTGTAAATGAATTATAACTCATACAAAATTATTAAACATAACAATTATAATTTTAAATAAATAATATATACAATATTTTAATATTTACTTTAAATATAATATCTTTATTTAATGTTTTTTAAATATATTTGAGGATGATATTAAAATTTTACTTAATACACTATAAGTAGTAAATAGTTTATTATTACTTGATGCTGAAAACATAAATTTGATCTTACGTTTATAAAATTTATATTAAAATAAATTATTTTTAATCATATTAAAATTTGAGTATTTAAATTATTAGAATAAATATTTATCTAAATTAATAATTTTAAAATAGTATTCAAATAATGTTAAAAGTGTCAAATAAATAATTTTGAAAAACCAAGAGTCCTATTAACAAACAACATAATTATATTCATTAATTATTTTTTTAACTGTACTTTTTTTTCTCGAGAAAAGATACGACCTACGAACACTATGGTGGCGTTTGGTTCGCTGGAATGTTTATGAGGGAATTGGAACCTATGAAGAAATTGGAATCTATCAGGAATTGAAATCCAATTCTATATTCTGTTTGGTTGGCAGAAAATGGAATTGGAATCTAATTCCATATTCTGTTTGGTTCACAGACATGTCAGGTGAATTTGATTTCAGTAATGTAAAATGACAGAAGTGTCCTTTTTGTTTTTTTTTATTTTGTTTTAGTTTATTTTACAACTTACATGTAGTAATATATTATAAAAAATTAAAAAAATATTAAATTTTCATTTTAATGATTGATTATTCATTTCAATAAATTATAAAAATCATAATAATAAACATCATAAGTTAAAATCATCGCAATCAAAATATGTTAATAAATTACTAAAAGATAGAATAATATTTCGATACATTCCAATCGGAGTATGTTAATTAGTTACAAAAAAATATACCAAAAACTATTTTTATTCAATATATGAATTAGAAACCCGACCCGACACGACACAAAATAATAAAAAAATTAATTTTATTCAATAAAAACATTGACTTAATTGAAAAAAATTATATAGAGGGGGTATTATTGTAATTATTCCTAAATATATAAGGTAAAATTATATATTTTTTCGGGTCGATCCGATTTTTTTCACCATAAACCCGAACCCGACCCGAATATCATACTTACAAAAACCCGACCCAACCCGAATATCATACTTAAAAAAACTCGACCCGACTTGACCCGAAAAAAATAAAGTTTCACCCGACCCGACCCGACCCGAACATATGAATTAGAAATCCGACCCGACTTGAAATAATAAAAAAATATTTTTATTCAATAAAAACATTGACTTAATTGAATATATATATATAGGGGTATTATTGTAATTATTCCTAAATATATAAGGTAAAATTACATATATTTTCGGGTCAGGTATTTTTCACCCTAAACCCAAACTCGACCCGACCCGAATATCACACTTAAAAAAACCGACTCGACCCGACCAAAATAAAATTTCACCCGATCCGACCAAACCCGAATATATGAATTAGAAACCCGACTCGAAATAATAAAAAAATATTTTTATTCAATATATGAATAAGTTACCAAAATCAAATTTCAATTCTCTCAAAAAAGGAATTGAATTACATCCATTCTTGGATGAAATTCACTTTTTCTCATTTGATGGAAAATTGAAGTAATGAGAAATTCTAATTCCCTTAGAAAACTTGAATCTAACATGAGAAAATGATCGAATTGAATTCCAATTCCCCTCACTTCCAAAAAACCAAACGTGACCTAAGCGTTACTCTGCCTCAACTTGCCATCTTTTTTGCCCTACGATGAAAAGATAGATAATACTTAAATTAAAGATTTTTAATATTTAATACAAAAATTGAGCCCAATATTAACAGTGGCTTCGGTTCTCACACCGGAAAACATCTCTCAACAAGATCTTTTAAAATCCGACGTGGCGTAACAACAACCTCAACATCTGACCCAAGGAAATCAGAATGGGAATCCACATCCAATACAACAGCCAATAGATTTCTGCTGACGTGTGCATTTCCTGATCCACATCGATCTTCTCATCTCCGATTCTCCGTTATAATCTCCAAATTCAGGCTACACTTGCCGAAACAAGCCCAATGTCTAAGCTAATGGCAACCTCCGGTATCCAACAATCTGCTTTCGCCGGCCAAACAACTTTGAAGCCGTCCAATGAGCTCCTCCGTAAGGTCGGTGCCGTCGGTGGCGGCCGTTTTTCCATGCGCAGAACCGTCAAAAGCGCCCCCACCAGCATCTGGTATGTTACATGCAGTATATATATCCAATTTATGAGCAAAAGATATGAGATTGGATTTATGTATGTTTGCGATTACTTAAAAACAGGTATGGCCCTGACCGCCCAAAGTACTTGGGTCCATTCTCCGACCAAATCCCATCATACCTGACCGGTGAATTCCCCGGCGACTACGGGTGGGACACTGCTGGGTTATCAGCTGACCCCGAGACATTTGCTAAGAACCGTGAGCTTGAGGTGATCCACTGCAGATGGGCTATGCTCGGTGCCCTCGGCTGTGTTTTCCCCGAGGTTCTTTCGAAGAATGGTGTGAAGTTCGGAGAGGCAGTTTGGTTCAAGGCTGGTTCACAAATCTTCTCCGAGGGTGGCCTCGACTACCTGGGCAACCCGAATCTCATCCATGCTCAGAGCATCCTTGCGATCTGGGCTTGCCAAGTTGTGCTCATGGGGTTTGTTGAAGGATACAGAGTTGGCGGTGGACCACTTGGTGAAGGACTCGACCCAATTTACCCCGGTGGTGCTTTTGACCCGCTTGGATTGGCTGATGACCCTGATGCCTTCGCCGAATTGAAGGTTAAGGAGATCAAGAATGGCCGGCTTGCGATGTTCTCCATGTTCGGATTCTTCGTCCAGGCTATTGTTACCGGAAAGGGTCCCATCGAGAACCTTTTCGACCACGTTGCCGATCCGGTGACCAACAATGCCTGGGCTTATGCCACTAACTTTGTCCCCGGAAAATGAACAACTTAGATAGATACATAGATGTGTCTTTGAAAGCTGTGATATTAATCGTTGTGCACTTTCTGTGGTATCTGTTGTAGCAAAACTCCTTTACAGATGTAATTTCACTGCTCATTTCTACCTGATGTAATTTAAACCGCGTGGGATTCAAGCTTTGAAAAAGTATTTTACCATTTTACGTTGCACCTCTAATAGCCCTTTTGCCATATTAAGAAAGTAACAGCTTCAGCTTTTTGGCCTGAAGCTTATGTATGGAGATAATTTAGTGGAAACAAGGTTAACATATGACGGAATGGTGAACTCAGTTTCCGCATCTTTTAACTTTATAGGAACTCAACGTTTTGCTCATCGTGTAGATCGTGTTTGTGGAATTGGAAGCCAAGGAAACCAGCACCCGAAGTGAAAAAAGCATAGCTCGGAACGCTGAACGGAAGGAGTTAAAATATGTGGAGAACAAACCCGTCAAGTTGAGTCAAGAACATAGTTGAAATTGTCACGGCCGTGCAATAAGGTCCGAGACATTGGCGCATGAGTCTGTCAAAGAGGTTGGATTTGGGGAATCGGGCTTGTTAGACCACCAGACTTGGCCCATTACTTGGAGAATACTAGAGAGCTCGTTCACATTGATCGTGCAAACATGGAAAGTTAATATGATGACGGGAGTTCGGTAATTATGTCAAGAGACAATAAATCAATAGAGATTGTGGAGGATTCTTATCATATCCAGTGTGAACGCTTATCGAATGAAAGAATCCTACTAATTGATGTAACTATGTAGGATGAGATTGAGTTTCCTTACTTAAGAGAAGATCTTGTAGATACAATTCTTTGATTTGGGGGATTTAGGAGATTGTATTGATTTGGGCCGTTGATGTAAATAGATCCTAGCCATTGATTGTGAGGGAGCTCAACTATAAATAGAAAGTTTATCCTCCTCATTTGTATCATTCGGAAACATTCTTCCACTCTCACTTTGTGAGAAAAGTAAATAAAAGCTCTAAGACATTTGCTCTAAGTTATATTATCTCATTTCAGTTATTCTGAGTTGTTCTTTATTCTTTATGTGTTTGTTGCCTCTCTAAGTGACTAAGTGTATCCCCTGGTGTTTACGTTTCCGCACGAATGTTCTACTTTGGTGGCTTTAGCAGCCCCATTGGGTTAAAGCTTCCACATCCTTTTGAAGTCTTGAGGACTTTGTGCCAGCCTTTGTCAAGGTAGTGTGCTCTTAAGACGTGGTGTAAGGCCTACTTAGGTGTAGAACATACCAAGTACTGTCATTGAGAGCTTCTAAGGTAGCACGTTTCGGAGGTTCAAAGATGTGACAACCGCACGTTTCCGAGTTATAGTTTATGTGGGTGTGACAAAATGCTCAACTATTTTGTTGATGCTTGTTTCACAAGTGGTCCGTGTCAGGTTGAAAGAGGTCGATGAATTTGAAGCGGCTATATGGTGAGAAGGGTTGTTATGGTCTCATAGATAATATTGTGAAAATGATAATAAATAATATTAAACTGCAAGCTTAATATAATAATGGTATTATAACATTTTCAAAGTCATCGTAATACGGCGATAACATCCATAATAAAAAAAGTATTAATAAAAAATTAAAAAAAATAATTTATATAATGTCCATAGATTCAACATACAAATGATTATGAATTTACCGAATTTCAAAAAGGACAAAAAAGGAATAGTAAATTTTCAATACTATTATTTTCATGATAAGTTGTCCATAGCATGCATCAATATATAAAACAACATAATGTGGAATGTGAAGATCCATCATCTCTGAGTTTTCCTACTCTTATCCCTCATCTCTTTCCTCTTTCTTCCGAATATTATTATTCTGTTCAATCAACCATCTGACCCCTTTCTCTATCTTATCAGCCTTCATAATTTTAACCTCATCTCCATGATTTTTATAATCCATTTTAAGATCTACAGCCAATCGCAATTCTTTCACCAGCATAAAAGCATTCAAATTTTGCCCCGCGTAAAGCGGCCATGCCGCCATTGGCACTCCAAACCGGATACTCTCAAATGCTGAATTCCAACCACAATGCGATATGAACCCTCCGGTTGCGGGTGGCTTAAGATGGCCACTTGTGGTGCCCGACCGATGACCTTACCAGTCCCAGTCATTCGATCTAATAACCCTTCCGGCAACATATCGGCCACGTCTTCGTAGTCCGTCGGGTTTCCCTTCATTCCCTTTACTTGCTCCCCAGATCGTCGTAGGGACCACAAGAATCGATGTCCACCCTACTCTAGTGCATTGGCGATCTCTGTCACCTGTTCGACACTGAAGCTTCCCATGCTTCCGAAACAGAGGAACACTACCGATGAACGAGGTTGCTCGTCGAACCATTGCATTATCGTATCATGATTCTAATGGGTCCCACGTGGACCTGCAAGATCCAATATGAGTCCCTCTAAGTAAATGGGTGGAATCTGAAGCTTACCGTTAGAAAGGGAGTCAACCGCATGGGATTCAAGCTCCGAAAATGTATTTATCAATATCCCCTTCACCTCTCGTAGCCCTCTTGCCATATTAAGGACGAAGGTAACCATTTCAGGCCTGAACATTACGGATGGAAAAAACTTAGTGGAAACCGGATTGATAAATGATGGAATGGTGAACTCAGTTTCCGAGTCTTTTAACTTGAGAACGACAACGTTTTGTTCATCGTGTAGAGCTTGAATGTGGAATTCGAAGCCAAGCGAAGCAGCTCCCGAAGTGAAAAAAGCATAGCTAGGAACGCCGAATTCCTTGGTCCAATTTATCAAAGGAGAGAATAGCATGTCCAGAACAAAACCGGCGAGTCGAGGTGAGTCGGGAACTGAGTTGGAGAGCTCAACTATGTTGGTGACAGCCTCTTTAACAAGTGGTCCCTGGGTTTGAATTAAGCTACTCAAAAACTGGAAAACAGTTACGTATGGGTCAGGTTGTGGGAGGTTGATGAATTAAACTACAACATAATATTTAAGGTAAAACATATTAAATAATAAATATAATTATATAACTATAATTAAAAAATAAATTTGGGTTAAAAAAATCATAACAAAATGATATTGTTTGGTTTAATTTTTTTTAAAACAATCTCACATGGCTAAGAAACATAGAAGAGCATCCCAAAAGTCTATAAGTAAAAATATGAGAACAAAACAATCTCACATTGCTAAGAAACATAGAAGCGCATCACAACTAACTTCTATAAATAATAGAGGTAATTTGGCATTCAAAATCATAGAGCCTTTTGGTGAGCATTGAGTGAACTATTCTTTCACTTCAATCAAGCTTGAATTTTAGGCTTCAATCGAGCTTCTAATTTTTTTTTGAGTTCAAGCCTTTTTGAGTTCAAGTTTCAATATTATATTTATAGTTTGAGTTGAACTTGATAATTTTTAGCTTGTGAGTTTGAGTTGAGTTGAGCTTACTTTTAAAGTTTTCAAGTTCGAGTCGAGCTCATCAATACTCGAGTTCGACTTGGCTCGTTTAACAAACGACGTTATTTGGTTTATTTTTTAAAAAAAAAACAAAAATCCCCGTTTTTCCCAGTTTTTTCCGATTTTCAGCCGATCCGGTTCGAACGGTTCAACGGTTCTGGCCGGTTCACTAATAGCGGTTCAATCGGTTTAGATTGAACCGGCCGGTCCGGTCCGGTTTTCAAAAACAGAGGTTAAATGTAGGGTATACTATACAAATGGTCAATGATGTTTGAGTAAGTTTTCATTTTCTCCACTAAAGTTTTAAAAATAAGAAGTTAATTATTAATGTTAGTAATTTATTACAAATCAGTCACTTACCTTTAACAGACGTTATTGTAGTAAAGGAATACTAACGTGGCACATAAAATCAATTGACTCAGCATGTTTGATCTACGATTTGACTCTCCGCCCACCACCTCCAACCCTCAATAATGGTTCAAAAGCTTGCAAAAATGTTGTCTTGTTGTTAATATGAACCATTAGAGGAAGAAAAAAAAAACCATTAGAAATTCATAGCACTTATTTTATATTTAAAAAAAAATTCATAGCCATTTCCAGCTATCAAGATCCTGATGAAAAAAAGCAACTAACAAAGAATGACCAATCAACAAAACATTTGTCAACCATAACCCCATAATGCAGTGCCACTTAGAGGAAGAGAACTTGCACAAGCTGAAGATTGAAGAAAAATTAAAGAATAAATACTTAATAACCTCCAACTCTTTACCTACTTTTTATGCATAAGAGTAAAATATTTTAGAAAAACTAAAAATATTTAAAAAAAAAAAAGGTAAATAATGCATTAGCACCTAAACTATCAGTTTTGGTCTGTTTTAGTATTTAAACTTTCAAATTTTCAAAATCACACCTAATGTTTATTTTTTTATTTTATTTTAATATCTCGTCGTTAAAAACTAAACATGTTTAGTACCTAAACTATCAGTCTTGGTTCGTTTTAGTACCTAAACTTTCAATTTTTTTAAAACTTAACGTTAAATTTGAACGGGTACTAAAATGAAACAAAAACTAAAGTTTTTAACTACGGGTACTAAAATGAAACAAAAACTAAACTTTGGGTATGGTTTTGAAAAAAATAAAAAATCTAGGTACTAAAACAAACCAAAACTGATAGTTTATGTACTAAACACATAATTTACCCAAAAAAGTTACTAAGTTAAATTGATAAACCAAATTTATTCTGTTGAACCTAAAGGAAAAGTTGCTTGATGCTAGATGTTAGATGTCAAGGTACTTCTATTGCAAGAAAGTAGTTCATAACATTACATATCATTTATTTCTACTTGGATCTTCTTTTGAAACAAAAGATAAGAGAGTTTTGAGACTAGCTTGGTTGATAGTTTTTTTTTAAAAAAAAATAGAAGAAGAAAAGAAAATCAAGGCATTGTAACCCAACTTGTGTAGTTGAAGTCTGTTCTTAATGAATTCAAGTACTTTGTGAAGCTCAAGGCTTTAAGAGCCGAACTAGTTGCCTTAAGACTAGTTGCCTTACGGTTGAGCATTTGGATAAGAGAACGAAAAATGGCATCGACCAGGCTGCCATTAGTAAAATGAAAGGTTTGATGAAGTCGAAGAGGATGTTTACAAAGATAGGGTCAAGCAAAGCAGTCAGGGGTGAGCATAGTGGTTCGAAAGAACGTGGTGATGAATAATAGAAAATATTTAGCGCATTCAAATTAATTTACATCGTTTATTATGTGCTACAAAAGGAAACAATATGCAACACAAAGTACAAGAATAACCTTTGATCAATGAGATGATACATACATCACAATGCTCACGTTAAAGGAAGATGGACTAATGTTTTCAATGGTCTTGGAAAAGAACAGAAGATCAGTAGACTTGTCACTGCTTTTTAATAGTATCCTGATGTTATTTGGTTGACATGTCTTTTGGAGTTAGGATCGGTTGTCTCTTAGCTTTCTAACGGTTCTTGAATTGTATCAATCCGATATCGGAACCTCAAGATATGCTCATTTTAGTGAAGACAGTGCGTGTAGAAATCCCTATACGAGATTATACGGGATTTTGTAATTTTCAATATTTTCATGTTAGGAATAGAGGTTAGAAAGGTAATTGAATGTAATAGCCTTGATAGCTTAGCACCCTACATCACATTGCTTATCATAAGCTATGCCACCTATCATCATTCTAGAAGACTTATCTTGACCGTTCATCAAGCTACAAGGATTCAAGCATGTGTTTGCTTTCATCAACACCATCGGATCAAAGCCTTATCAATGGCTCACATTCATGCCTCCACATTCACATAGATTTAGGATAGTTTTAATTGTTATTTTATTCTTAATTATAGTACTACAAGGACTCCTCAAAACCTATATAAAGGAGGCTTCTTCCACCATTATAATCATCAATTCTTTTCTTCAATACAATACAACAAGAGATCATTTTTGCAAGAGTTGATAACCTTGTGCATTCGAAGCTTCTTTCCTTTTAGTTCTTTGAGAAAGAGATCTTCAAACTCCGGTTTGCTTTTTCATTGCGATTAGAAGGGCTAGTTAGAGTCATATTATTGAGTTTGCCTTTTTATTACGACTGGGAGGGTTCAATATGACAATTATCCATCAATTTCCATCTTCTACATCATCATCATCATCTTCAAACATCCATGATGCCATCATCATCCCTAAATTAGGGTTTGTTTCAAGTTTGTACATACAGGGGGAAATTTTCAAATCGATTTTCCCATCGATCCGACTATCCGATTCCAATTTCGTCTTCACCATTACAATCCTTGAATTCTTATCTTTCTAACAAATATTTATTCATCTAAATACGAGTTCAAATAACCTCTCTACCGCCCATATCAATAGCTAAGTACAATCTTTTTATTACGTGTTTTGTCCTTTATTGTTCTTTAATTACCCTTGTTTTAGCCTTGTCTCATCCTTGTTTCCATTGTCTTAATCTTTGTTTTTTTTCTTAAATTCCAACAAACAAGGCCTTTGTCTAAACTTAGCTGTCGCACACCCTATTCTCTCATCCTCTCATTTTCTTCATTGAGTCTAGTACTTTCTAGGTTTGTTTCCTCAACTCGAGCAACTTCCTTATTCTCCGTTGCCGCTTTTCTATCATGAGATGAAACAAGTGATTTACATCTTTAGTACTGGGAGGATCTACTTGGGAAACAATCTTATTGTCTTTGTTAAAGTTCGTAGGTGCTTGTGGCTCTCTACATGGTGAAGAAGAAGAAGAAGAGTAAAATGATCAGTCAAACATGTTGAGTCAATTGGTTTAACATGCCACATCAGTTTTTATTTACTGCAATTACGACTGTTAATGGTGAGTGACCAATTTGTAACAATCAATAACGTTAATGACCAATTTGTTACTTTTGAAACTTCAGTGGGGAAAACGAAAATTTATTCAAACATTATTGACCATTTGTGTAGTTTACCCTTAAATGTATTAATTATTAATTGGTTTAATGAGATGAAATATTAGATTCTTTAAATAGCTCAAGAGTTCAAATTTTGATATTTGTGAACATAACAAATTGTGTTAATAGAATTGTGTAAAACTCTCAACCCGTATCCGACCCGGATATGAGTATGATATGTCACATTGACTTTTCAAATCCTTTACTTTTAAAAGATAGTGAAAATTTAAACATTTATTTGTATAAAAAGGGTGAAACCTTTGATCAAAAGTAAATAGATGGAATTCAACTTAATTTGAAAATAAAAACTCAACAATTTACATAAATATAATAGTGTATGTTTACAAAAATGATCAGAGCATATGCAATTCAAACCTTTAATTACATGCTAACACATTTAATACAAAAAAATGGCATACTGTGTAAATTACTTTAAATCTGATCTTCTTGTAGAGATATGATGTCTTAATTGGTCCTAGCTTTTCTCTTCCTGCTTCTTTGAACCTACGTGTGAAACACTCACACGCTAAGTCGTTGACTTAGTGAGGCATATAATGCATAAATAAAACATTAAAACATGTAATCATATACTTAACTTTTAAAAACATCATGGAGTACATAAATCATCATACATTACACCAAACAAGAACATATAACATCATGCTATGTTTATTCGTGTTATTTCTTTTAATAGCTCATAGTACATTACTGAGAACTGAAGGTATGTGAGTGCATTGAGGTTGTGCACTAATTTTGTCACCACAGCTCGTATAAATTGCACCGAAGTGCCGCGTAGAATATACACTGAAGTGTCACGTAAAAATATCCCAAAGGACCACATAGATATATCCCGAAGAACCGCGTAGAATTATCCCGAAAGACCACATAGAATTGTCTCAAAGGACCGCGTAGAACCCTCAACTCTTGGCATACCAATTATACCTTTAACTCTCATATCACATACTTTTGGGCTTTACCGTTTACATATTCACATAACTTGTATCACATATACATATAATCATTTAGCTCATTGTCACATAGCTTATATCACATTTTCATGTAATCACATAGGTCAATGACACATATCTTATATCACTTTTTCATGTAATCACATATATCAATATCATATAGCATAAAAATATAAACAACGCATGTTCACATAGTAACAGAGTCAAAATTATATTTATATTCATGTAATCAAAACACTGGAAATAGACTCATCACAAGTATTCTTTCCATAAGACAATATATATAATAATATGCACTCACCTTACCCTCACTTAGTCAAGCAAAACACTTAGCACTCTTGATTTAACTTATAGCTTTGAATCGTCCTGAACTTGCCTTCGTTCGATATCTACACAATAATACGATTGATATGAATATCGAAATTCAAATCACTATGAATCAATCATCAATCTCTCAAGTTAGAATAAACACTTAATTCACGATTTCATTTTGAATAATATCGATACCCTAGGCCCAGTACCGATACTTCCTCACTATAGTATCGATACTTATTATGCATTCTGGAATTTGCCTTCTAAAAATGGTACTGATACTTGTCCATTAGTATCGATGCCCTTAGTTCTACTCCTTCGGTATCGATACATATTAAAGGATTTATCAAATTTTACCTTATAGTATCGATATTGTTCATCCAATACTGATACCCTTGCCTAGAAATCACCTTTTCCATTTCAAAAATTTTACCAAAACTCATCTAAAAGCCTTACTTTTAACTCCTTTAAGGCCTTTAACTACAGTACACTTATTAAAACTAACTTGTCTCACTTTAATACTCCTCAACACCCAAAATCTCACTAGAACACTTGGAACCAAAAATCACACCAAATAATCAACATACACCAAATCCATTTCTAACACTTTAGATTTCTTATTCCAACTTATAACAAGTCAAATTTCGCTTCAAAATCCATTTACTAACTCTTTCTCATCAATTCACTCAAAAACTCTTTTTATTCAATCACCCATAACTTGTAAATCTTTTAGTTTCTACTTCTCTTTAAGCTTTCTTAAGTTTTCCTAACACTCTAATAATCAAAACCAATCAAAATTTACAAGAAATAACTAAGTTGAGAATTTCTTACCTTAGCTTAGAGACTCACGGTGGAAGAAGAAGAAGAGAAATAAGTCTCCATATTTTTTCTTTCATTTTCTCTCATCCTCCACGTGTTTATATAATACACCCATAATGATTTTTTAATTCATTCTTGCTAAAAGGTCTTTTTTTCCATTCCATCTTTCAATCTTTGTTAATCAACCTACACCAATAATTTCAAATTAACTCCCTGAACTTTTAAATTTTTTGAAATTAGTCACGAAGTTTTAAAATCTTACACTTTAGTCACTAGTCCACTTTTTTTGGATGTTACAAATTGTCCTTAAAATAGATGTATATAAAATCCGATCTAAAATAATCAATCAATAGATCATATATCTATGATTAAATATTTTTTTAAATTATATATAATTAATAAATTTTATATTATATATAATTAATAAAATGAAAAACAAATTGAAATATATTTAAATTTCCACCACGCTCTATCCTTCCCCATTAAATAAGAATTTATTTTCTATGATATTGTCCCTATTAAGTCCATGCACTAATGACGCATTACTGAAAAACACTTGGAGTACCAGTGTTTTCAATTATTGTCGTTCTTGTTCTTTCTTCGTCCTGTTGATCTCAACTTCACACCATGATTTTGCATTGTTAACTTTATTGTTGGTAGCTACTTGTCGAAGTGTTTCCAGCTTATTGTTTTGAGACACAACTATTGCTTCGCTCTCACGCACCACTTTTTGTCATGCATGGTTATCTATCTCCAGCTTCTTCAATAGGTTTTGAAGTTCCATTGTTTTGTTTGCTGCTTTTGTATCTATTGGCCTATTTGATTAAGTAAAATAGATGCATTTGACTCCATTTGTTTTAATAATGTTGCAATTTATCATTTGTTGTGTTCTTACAGTAACAATCTCAACCTCTCACCCTAAAATATGAAAATGAAAAAATATATCTAGAAAAAGGAAAAAGAAACTGTTTTTAAATCTCCTCCATTTTTTATTTTGTAAGGAAGGTGGTTCGAACATAGTGGAGGTGATGGGTATTTGGGAAAAAATGAAATTAGAAAGTTTTAGGGGTAAATTAAATATAAAATAATTGTTCAATTACTTATTTGATGTTTTAGCTATAGTTTAGGGGTAAAATTAAATATTAACCATTTTCTTAATATTGTCCCATCATTTTAACGGAGATGATAGTAGAGTGACTTTTTGTTACAGGTCGATAATGTTAGTGACAATTTTATTATAAATCGATAACGTTAATGTTTAACTTGTCACTTTTGAAACTTTAGTGTGAAAAACGAAAAATTACTCAAAGATTAATTACCATTAGTGTAGTTTACCCTTAAAAAAGTATTTTTATTGCCTAAAATCATTTTCCATAGTTTTGTTTGGTTGCGCGGCGACATAATTCCCATGGCACCAGCGTTTCACAACTCACAAGTATGAAGTTGTCCGTTGACGGGCACAGGGTGTAACATTAAGAGATGAGTTGCATGCTCTACGTAATTGCTCGATTTTTCGGCTTCCACTCTTCGATCGGCAAGGAGTTTGCTCATTGATTCATGGGTTGCAAACGCATTTGCATATTAATATTTAAAATACAGTTATGATTGTATTTTTAGACGTGTTATAATTATTATGCTGACCTAATAAATGTTAGTGCAGTCATTTCATATATCACCTTAAATTTTTTTTTTCAAAGATGTTAGCAATTTCTTCTATAGGAAATATTTAAAATTAAGATAACAATCTATTATGATTGCAATTGATCGCTACTCGTAAAATTACGATCGCAATTCATTGTTATTGATGTAATTATCCTTTATATTGATATTTTTATAATAATAGTTTCAAATATTGCCGCTATTTCGAATGCTATTTAAATCTTTGATTTTATTCTCTTGATATTCCTATTAATACACCCTCTGATCACAGGGTGGCCTAAAATGGCAACTTGCGGTGCCCAACCGATGAGCTTACCAATCTCAGCCGTTTGATCTAAAACTCCTTCGGGTAACACCTTCGCCACGTTTTCATAATCAGTCGGGCTTTCCTTCATGCCCTTTACTTGCTCCACCGGTCTTCGTAATGACCACAAGAACCGGTGCCCACTCTGTTCTAGTGCGTAAGCGATCTCTATAACTTGATCCTCACTAAAGCTTCCCCTGCTCCCGAAACAGAGGAACACTACAGATGAACGAGGTTGTTGGTCGAGCCATTGCATGATTACATCATGCTTCTAATGGATCCCGCTTCAGCCTCAAAGATTCAATATGAGTCCCACTGGATAAACGGGTGGAATCTGAAGTTGACCATTAGATAGGGAGTCAACCGCATGGGATTCTAACTCTGAAAATGTATTTACCATTATACCTTTCGTCTCTCTTAGCCCTTTCACCATGTTACGAAGGAATGTAAAACTTTCATGATTGAACATATCAATCGGAAATAAATTAGTGGAAACCGGGTTGACATACGATGGAATGGTGAACTCAGTGTTCGAGTCTTCTAACTCATCGAACTCAACCTTTCGCTCATCGTGAAGAACCATAGTGTAGAACTGGAAGCCAAGAAAAGCAGCACCCGAGGTGTAAAATGCATAGCTAGGAACGCCGAATACGTTAGCCAAGTCTATAAAAGGAGTTAAGAACATGTCCAGAACGAAACCGGTGAGTCGAGGTGAGTCCGGAACTGAGTTGGAGCGCTCAACTATGTTGGTGACGGCCTGTTTCACAAGTGGTCCCTGGGTTTGAACCAATCTACTCATAAACTTGAATACATCTACGTCTGGATCAGGTTGAGGCAGGCTGATGAATTTTAAGCGGCCGGTGGCCGTGGCAGTGAGAGAGTCGACGTAGGAGCAGATTCTTGTGTCGTAGGGTGGCTTGATGGTAAGTATGGTAATGGAGAGGTTGGGACTGAGATGAACTAAAAGCTTAGCCAATTGAACTGTGCGTACCAAATGGTCCATTCCAGTCATTGGGATGAACACTAGCTCTGCTTTCTTCGTCATCGGAACGGAACAGAAAAGTTATTTGCCGAACACTGCAACGACGAACGATGAAGATGGATCGAGGGCAGCGCTGGGAGGCTGGTTTGGAATTTCGCCGATCTTTCACAAGTGGTCCCTGGTTTTGGAATGAGGAATCCCTGCATATTCTTGTTTAGTTTTTAACTTGTTTTTCGATCGTGTATGTCATAAACACCTATTCCAATATTAGAGAGAAAAGTGTTTAGCTCGTCTGATGTGTATATAAAAGCTCAAAGCTTCTTCTATATCAAGTGTGTAGTTTCTCAATAAAAGTGCATTGTTATACTTCTTTACTTGTATCAGTTTTCTTGATAGATCGAATATATTGGAGAGAGATTTATATATTCTAAATATTATAAAAAAAATGGATTTATATAATATGGATAACATGTAACTTAATTGCATCATATATTCTCAAATCATAACCCTTAATTTAAATTAATCATCAAAGTTTTCAATATTTTAATTTTATCTTTAAATTATAATCCTATTTGATTTTTCATTTAAAAATTTTTTGCTAAATAAAAAAATAATTGAAAATAATTTCAAAAGCGAGAAAATAAGAAATTTTGGGGAAAAAAAAGCTTATCCTGCTGATAAAACTTGACCAGCCAAAACAACATCTAGTAATTGTACTACCTTTTTCCCATGTTTCCTTGGATTCTAGATTCATCAGAGACAAGTGCTATTAGACACTGAGTAGAAAGCAAGCAAGAACAAAAAGTGAAAAGTCCCCCACAATCTTCCTCCATTTCGAAGCAAGCATATATTCTAACAAGCCAATAAGAATGGCGATTTTCCCCAAAAATCACCCTTTCCTATTTTATTTCCCTGTAAGACACATTTTCATCTTTATTTTATGATCTAACACCCTTTGCAAGAAGACGCGGCCCATACACCGCGCTTTATGCTGATGTGGCGTCACATATTGAAAGGCACGACCTATGCACCGCATCTTGTTAAACGTGTAAAAAATTGAGTGCCAATTTCGTAAATATGTTTAAAATGGTATCAAATATATAATTAATTTCTGTTATGGTAATATTTGTGTAAAAACGTCAATTTTATTTATTTATTTTTTGTGTGTGAAAAAATCTTTCTACTTTAAAATCTTTGAATTTTTTTTGCAAATTATTTTATAACTCGAATTTTTTTGATTTTTGCATGAAATTACACAATACATATAATATAGTATATGAAAACTTTGAGGGTAATTAATTTAAAATATGAATAATTTTATAAAAGTTTTATAACTAGTATATCAAAATACACAAAATGATTAAGATGCAGTGATGAATATAAGAAAGCAAATGTTAAATAATAAGTTCTCAAATCAAATTCTACTCAAATTTGTTAAGTTCAATAAGTTGTACACACCTCATATATTACTGCCCATTTACCATCTCGTAGAGGTATGTGGTAGTAATTTATATTTCATATATGCAAGCTTTTATTTTCAAGCTTCTTTGTTTCCTCAATTATAATTAAAAATGAATAAATATTATTAATTATTGTTAAAAAATAATAATTAATGAATAATAATTCATTTGATCTCTCAATTGTAATTAAAAGTTTATTTTAATATTTTTTATATTTTTAAACAATTAATTTTAAAAGTCAATAAATTTTTCAAAAATATATGAAATTTATAATTTTTTAAAATATTTCTTATCATCATCATCATTTGTAAAAAAAATATTAGTTATAAAACTTTTATAAAATTATTCATATTTTAAATTACTTACACTCAAAGTTTTTATACACTAGATTATATGTATTATGTAATTTTATGCAAAAATCAAAATTTGTCGAATTATAAAATAATTTGTAAAAGAATATTTAAAGATTTTAATTAACAAAGTTTTTTTGTATGCACACAAAAAAAATAAATAAAAAGGTTGACGTTTTTACACAAATATCACCCTAATAAAAATGAATTACATATTGAGTATTAATTTAAAAATATTTACGAAATTAGCACTCAATTTTTTACACGTTTATGCTCCGTGCCTTTTAACATGTGGTGGTACGGTTAATGGGTCGCGCATTATTACAAAGTGTGTTATATCGGGAAATAAAGATAAAAGGGTACAGGAAAATAAAATGAGAAAGGGTGATTTTTGGGGAAAATCGCCAAGAATCTGATTACATTGCTGCAATGATTGCCTTTGAATCTTCTTTAGTTTCCCTATATATATTTTATACTCATAAACAGCCTCCTTCATTCCCTAGGCATCGCTTAGTTACATCCATGGAGTCAAGGCTCTGCTTAAAGTTTCTCTATGCATTCGTATGCGTTTCAGCCACTATTCTCTTGATCGCTCACTGTGGTATGTAAATTCGTTATTTTTTTTTCATATTGTTTCAAATTCAGTTGAGGGATCTTCAAGGTTGAGTGTATATTGGTATAATTTGTTGTTTCTTTTTGTCTTTAAAGATGCCAGACTTATGGTTCATGCATGGAAGCATCATGGCTCAAGCCTCCATCAAAAGCTAAGAACAACCGATCGTGTTGCCTCGAATGGTGATCCGTATACCCTCGACTCACCTATTTTTCTACCTCCTTTGGACTCTTCATCGTCACCATTTCCTCAGCCTCCCCACTCTCCTACATTAACCCCACAATCACCTTCCCAACCTCCTGCGCCTCCAACAAGTTACGGCCTACCGACACCTCCACCGCCGAGTAACATCATCCGCAGCCCGCCGCTAAGTCCTCCTGAAATAGCTCCTCCGAAACATGGGTTCAACTCACCTAGCATTTTCCCAAGTCCACCTCAACTTCAACCTAGTCCACCAAAACATGTTCCTATGGCCCCTAAGCAGGTTCCGGGCCGACCCGTTTCTGAACCGCCGATGATGAACCCATCACCTCGTCCTCCTCCACACAAAGGGTCACGGTCCGGTGCTTGGTGTGTGGCTAAGCCGACAGTGCCTGATTCGTTGATCCAAGCCGCCATGGATTATGCATGTGGGTCTGGTGCAGATTGCAAGTCGATTCAACCCAACCAGGCCTGCTTCCAACCCAACACAATGATGGCTCATGCATCGTACGCTTTCAACAGTTACTGGCAAAACACAAAGGGGCGTGGTGGCACTTGTGATTTCGGAGGAACCGCCATGCTTGTTACCGTTGATCCTAGTAAGTTTCATTCGATTTTTTCCCTCAAAATCTTAAACTTTCCCATATGCAAATGAAAAGTCTCATTATATGAATTTCTCAATTTTTTTAATGAATTTTGACAGGTTTTGGTAAATGCAAGTTCAGCAACAATTGATCGCACGAAAGAGCCATTTGAGAGACCATTGATTTCAGAGTTTGAACCCGCAGGCTAGATGCGATTTTTACATGGATATAGCTACTTAATTCAGCCATTGAGCTTGGTTCCTATATTCTATTAATCTGATAAGCTTCCATGAAAAGTGTATTTTATATACACGTATATATAATATATATACCCTATGTAGTTAATATGAAAGGTAACAAAAACGCAACTAGTACAGCAGAATGTGAGTTCCCATTGCAATTATAATTAGCAACTTTTGGCATCTGGACAACATGTGTTATAGAAAGAACTATTGAATCAAATTCAATAGGAAATTTCAAAATGATACGAAGAAACTCAACCATTGAGTATTAGATCATACCTTGGGGGGTTGATGCATATGGATCAGACCCATTCCTTAGTATTCATGTAGGCATCTAACAAATTCCACTCTTCACTTCCCTCTTCTGGTTTCTGCATGTCAAACAATTAATTGGCCTCTCATAATCAATTACAACTCAGTAAACATTTTCATATAATGTGTAACAAAGTTTTACTTGTGTGTGTAGTTGTTGTGTTTTGTGTTGGGGGGGGGGGGAGTGGAAGAGGGAAATAGGTAACAAAAGCTTACATGATCATATTCCCAACGCTCTGTTAGAGGGAGACGAACAAGAATACTTTCAATTCGACCTTTACAAGTGGACCGGACTATAAGGTATACAAGCCCATCATAAAGTAAACAAGTAAACTCAATTATAATGTATTATTTTATTGAGTCTATTTACTATTAAAATTTACAATATAGTTTATCGACTATAAGGTTTTATTTTATTGAGTCTTTTGATTATTAAAAGTTACAAAATGATCATTCGACTATTCATATGTTTCAAACTCGTCATTCTCTGTTAAAAAATAACGATCGTTTAAGCTGAACATTAAGCTATTAATTATGATATGATAGATTTGGAGAAACAAGAGAAATGGTGAGTTGGAGAAGAAAATGAGGTGAGGCCCGATCAAAAGGGTTTGAAAATTGAAGAAGAAGAGGTGAGGCTCGATTAAAACGGTCTCACATGACTAAATGGTGTAAAAAAAAAGCTAGATTAACGTGCCACACTTCTATTACTCCAATAACGATTGTTAATGGTCAAGTGATCATGGTATAAATTAGTAATATTAAGTGATTCAATTATTACTTTTAAAACATCAACCAAAAAAACAAACCTACTTAAACATTAGTGATTGTTTATATACTTTAACCATCAAATGTATCGTATGAAGATTATGACAGGATGAGTAAATTAATCTATTTAAAATGTTTAATTTAAAGGATAAAGTATATAAGTGGGCCCCAACTCTAAGGTATTATTTTATTGAGTCCATTTATTATTAAAAGTTACAAAATAGTCCTTCGACTATAAGGTGTTGCTTTGTTGAGTCTTTTTAACAATTAAAGTTACAAAATGCCCACTTGACTATTCATATGTTCCAAAGTCGTCCTTTTCTGTTAAAAAATTAATTGTCGTTTGAGCCAGACGTTAATGTACTGATTGTGATATGATAAAATTTAATCCCAGAATATCAATCGACTGTACAATCAAATGGTTATAGGATCAGGTTTTATCACATCTTAGCCAGCAGATTAATGTTAAACTCAAATGACTATTTTTTTAACAGAAAAAGGATAAGTCCGAAACATATGAATAGTTGAGTGATCATTTTGTAATTTTTAATAGTTAAAGAACACAAAAAATAGCACCATATAGTTGAGGGACTATAGACTTTACCCTAATGTAAACATATCGTAAAAATGGCCTTTGATCTTGAATCCGCCACTTCCAAAAACCTTTGCCGCCATAAATCCTAAACCATGATCATCCCCTCCGCCACTAAGACTAAAACCAATGCCATTCCTCACCGCGAACGAGCTCGGCTTCCTCTTCGAGTCCGCAATCTCCACTCGGTCCCTCTTTTTTGGCCGAGCCACTCACGCCCACATCCTCAAAACTCTTCAAATCCCTCTCCCTTCTTTCCTTTCCAACCACCTTATCAACATGTACTCCAAACTCGATCTCCCTAACGCCGCCCACCTCGCCCTCTTACAAACCCCACCTCGTCTCGTTCCGTCGTCACTTGAACCGCTCTCATTTCGGGTAATGTCCAAAACGGCCTTTTCACTTTCGCTCTCCTCCATTTTTCTCGCATGCAAAGTGAAGGAATATCTCCCAACGATTTCACCTTTCCTTGTGCTTTCAAGGCCTCCGCCTCGCTTCGGCTGCCTGTGGGGAAACAACTTCACTCGTTGGCTTTAAAGTCCTCTCAGATTTTCGATTCCTTTGTTGGGTGTAGTTGTTTCGATATGTATATGAAAACGGGCCTTAGAGATGAAGCAACAAAAGTGTTCGACGAAATGCCTGAAAGTAGTATTGCTATGTGGAATGCAAATATTTCTAATGCAGTGCTTGATGGAAAGCCGAGAACAGCTGTGGATGTCTTTATTCAATTTAGAAGGATCGACAGTGAACCTGATCCGATTACGTTTTGCCTTTTTCTTAATGCGTGTTCGGATGCTTCTTATTTGACATTAGGGAGACAGTTAAATGGATATGTGATTCTAAGAGGTTTTGATAGGAATTTGTCCGTCTGCAATTGGCTTATTGATTTTTATGGCAAGTGTAAGGAGGTGGAAGATGCGAGGATGGTCTTTGATGATATGGAGACAAGAAATGTTGTTTCCTGGTGCTCATTAATATCTGCTTATGGTTAAAACTATGAAGAAGAAAATGCCTATGGAATGTTTTTGGAAGCAAGGAAAGAAGGTGTTGAACCGACTGATTTTATGGTCTCGAGTGTTATCAGTTCTTTAGCTGGGATGGCAGTGCTTGAGTTTCGTAGATTGATTCATGAGCTTGCTTTTAAGGCTTGTGTCGAAGGGAATGTTTTTGTCGGGAGCGCATTAGTCGATATGTATGGTAAATATAGAAGCATCGAGAGCTTGGAGCAAGCTTTCTATGAGATACAGGAGAGGAATTTAGTTAGTTGGAATGCAATGATAGGTAGTTATGCTCATTAAGGGCTTGCCGACATGACTTTATTATTGTTTCAAAACATGATATCTTGGGGTCAAGTTATTCCCAATTATGTGACTTTGGTTTGTGTATTATCGGCTCATAGTAGAGCAGGGGCAGTAAAAATAGGTATGGAGATTTTCGAATCAATGAAGGAGAAGTTTCAGATTCAACCAGGGGCAGAGCATATGCTTGCGTCGTGGACTTGCTTGGGAGAGCTGGTATGGTTGAGCATGCTTATGAGTTCATTAAGAAAATGCCGATTCGTCCAACAATTTCCATCTGGGGTGCTCTTTTAGATGCCTGTAGGGTGTATAAAAAATCGAACTTGGGGAAGATAGCAGCTAAAAAACTATCCAAATTTGATCCTAAGGACTCTGGTAACCATGTGTTGATATCTAATCTATTTGCATCCATCGGCAGGTGGAGGAAGCTGATCTTGTGAGAAAGGAGATAAACGATGTCGGGATCAAAAATGGTGGATGTTGCAGTTGGATCTGTTGGTCAAAGAAAATGGCAGCAGCCGGCTGCTTGAAAAATGGGGGGGCTGCCCAATTTTTTATTTATTTTGTAATAGGGTTAATTACAATATTAGTCCTTAAGCTTCATCTATAAATACCCTAGCTCATTTAGCTTCTAAATCATCCCAAAATCTTCTAGTTCTCTCTCAAGTGTGTTTTGTAAACACCTGTAATTTTCTCTTTAGTAAAAGATCTGCAGCAGTCCGGAGACGTAGGCAAAATTGGTTGAACTCCGTTATCAATTCCGAGTATTATTTTTCCGCTTTTATTTTGCATTCTCACTAATATGGTTATAGGGAAATTACTCGTTACTCGGTTTATTTCCCAACAACTGGTAATCAGAGCTTTTGGTTGTGAATTTTGTCAATTTTTTGCGAGGTTAATATTTATTACTATTCACGTGAATAGTGAATTTCATGAATAGTAAAATTTTGTCGGCGATACGAATTTGTCGACGGAGGTGTTTTAATACACGGTAGTTCGCAAGAATTGTCAGAAACGATCCAAACGAAGCCAGATTCGAGTGGGAGCGATAGCTGCAGACGAAGGGAATGTGAAAATTGAAAAGTTCGATGGTGCGGACTTTGGCTTTTGGAAGATGCAGATTGAAGATTTTTTGTACCAGAAAAATCTATATCAACCTCTATCAGGAAAACAACCAGAGGGCATGAAGAATGAAGACTGGGCTCTTCTCGACAGACAAGCCCTCGGAGTTATCCGATTGACGTTATCCCGCAATGTTGCTTTCAACATTTGAAAGCAAAGGAAAAGACCACGGCGGGTCTTATGGCGGCTCTCTCCTGTATGTATGAGAAGCCATCAGCCTCAAACAAAGTGCACTTGATGAGGCGATTATTCAATTTGCGGATGACGGAAGGGGCATCGATGACACAACACCTAAATGAACTCAACACAATTACAACTCAGTTGAGTTCTGTGGAAATTGAATTCGATGATGAGGTTCGAGCTTTAATTCTCTTATCATCTCTACCAGACAGTTGGAATGCTATTATTACAGCACTTAGCAGCTCGTCGGGAAATAGTAAATTGAAATTCGACGATGTCCGAGATCTGGTACTGAGCGAAGAAATTCGACGGAGAGAATCGGGTGAAGCATCAACCTCCTCAGTCTTGCACACGGAGTCCAGAGGGAGAACTTCAGAAAGAAATTCAAATCGTGGCAGATCCAAATCAAGAACAGGAAAGAAAGATTTTACTTGTTATAATTGTGGCAAGAAGGGTCACTTTAAAAGAGATTGTCGAGTACTGAAGAAAGATATCGTCGTACAGGAATCTGCCAACATGACAGAGGAAACATGTGATGTCATGATTCTAAGCATCAACAGTCCGATTGAATCATGGATCTTGGATTCAGGGGCATCTTTCCACTCCACCTCATGCCGAGAAATCATGGAGAACTATGTCAGTGGTGATTTTAGGAAGGTTCATCTAGCTGATGATGAAACATTGAAGATCGTCGGAAAATGAGACATCCGACTAAAGTTGCCAAACCAGACCACCTGGACGCTGAAAGGAGTGAGACATATTCCTGGCCTCAAAAGAAATCTGATTTCTGTAGGACAGCTTGATGGAGAAGATTATAGTACAACCTTTTCAGGTTGTGAATGGATG